ATATATATATATATATATATATATATATATATATATATATATATATATATATATATTTGATATGTTTGTCGGACTGATATTGATCTTACGACATAATATACTAATACACTATATCTTATTAGTACATCAATGTGGTGATGATTATAGTTTAATCGTCATAAACTACACATGTCCGAGGTGGCTCTCAAGACAAGTATGATTGTTGTATCTAATGATGTAGAGCATAGAGAATGTTGAAGCTTCGTCATTGATTAACTATTTCGTATCATAAAATTGATCATTGTATCATTGCTTGGAGAATAATGACCAACTATCATTATATTATCGCTTAGAGAAGAATGACCAAGTATCACGTGAAGCTTGATCAGTTGAATCTTGGATGGTATGCATAAAATATTATTCCTTAGTCTATGCACCACTCTCAAATTGTGTTGATGAGACTATCAACTCCTTAGAGTCATCGTCATCATCAATCGAGGAACTACTATCCCATGTCTTAGGACCGATCAAGTTATTGAATATGATTAAGAAGTTATCTATAATTTTTTATTAGAGAGTTCTTTTAATCAGCTTCATCTGCATATGTGAGAATAAGAGAAAGAAATAAGTGAGGAAGAAATTAAGATAATATAAGAGTTTAAGAAAATAAAAGGGGTAAATGGGGAAGAAAAAGATTTAAACCCCTTTCTAATGAATTTGATCGTTGCAAAGGGACATATATGTTTGTATGTATATATCACCCGTTATCGAACGTTATAGAGCCTTTTAATATATATATATCACCTGTGATCCACATACCGATCCACCGGTACATATCACTTATACCGACCTTTATATCATGATACAATGAATCCTGTCCTTGATAACTTTCAATATTTTTTTATTGTAGAACTTTTAAGCATTACAAAAGATAATTTTATCAAAAAGAACATTGGCTTGAACCAATTATGTCTTTTACATTCTGATGAGTCAGTTGCTCATTTCTACATTGTAATCTAGCAAAAATTGTTTGGATACGAATGAAGAGACTCTTTCATTTAAAGGGCAGACCAAGCATCATAAATGCTGATGAAATTGCTGGAGAGGCAAGAGAATTTAATGAATGAACATTTGTGGAGCTCTCATGATGATCTCCTTTTATAGTGTTCAATTCTTAGTATTAGCCTTCTAATTTATTTGAGAAAAGCAGAAAAACAATAACACATAAGAAGCATAATACAGTTCATACTACTTTCTGTCTACTAGTTATGAAAGTCAAAGGTGGAAAGAAGTCATATTCCTACATCAAAACTATTATTAAATCTCAAAGCTGCATATCGCATTAATTCCTCTCATTGAATAAGCCATCACAAGGCATAAATAAAATTTCAGTCTACCTGCACACCAATTCCATAAAGCCTATGCATAAGGCAACGGGCAAAATGGTTTGAACTTAAATGAAGGTATAGTAAAGATAATTAAACTTTTCCCCCTTTGAATCTGAATTTAATGATCGGTAGACTTCCCTTGCCTCTTTGTCAAGCTGTGATGATAAGAAATTTATCAGAAAGAGGAAAGACCAGAGACTCGCCGCAACTTCTCATAAGAAACCCAAAACACAAATTGCCAAGGCCCTAGCCTTGCCCATGTTGGGAAGAAACCTTTCCACAATGCCCTCAAGCCTTCAAATTTCACAGTCTTGTACAAGCAGTCAACAGAATTTCTGTATACATCTGCATCTCTGCCAGAAGTCTGATTCATCATTCTAGTTTTTACCACATCAGCTGGACAGCTTAGAGCAGTCGAACAAAGTCCAGATGCCACTGATGCCAATGTATGAGCATAAGTATTATCTTGACATATCCCTTGTCGAATAATAAAATGCTTTGCCTGATCGTAACATGTCAATTCACCCATATTGACCAAAAACGCTCTTTGAGCATTAGGAAACACCCCCCTCCAAAGGCCTGGAAAGCCTTCTTTCTGGATTATTTTCCTGAAAGCATCAAATAGTCCAGCATACCTGGGCTGGTTAGCAGTGCTTAAAAGATGGCCATCTGCTTGCATTCTTACCTTTATAAGATCAGCAGGGCTTGCCAAAATCTGCATTTTGAAGATGTCAAAGTCAATACATTCAACAATCACAATGGAACATGCAGAATCATGCTAATTTCTGATCTCAAATATATAACCGACTTATGCAAGTCTTAAGCTTTGCTCTGATACCAAACGTCACAACTCGGGCCTAATAGACTAATTGGCCTGTCAACTTCGTTTGGCCTAAATCATTGATCAAAATGCTTAAGCTGAAATTGATAGTAATATACTCATCAAACCTTTATAAGTCAATCTTAATCTTGTCCACCTCTGATGTGAGACTAATTGAGGTGTTACACTTCTGCTATTATGACTATATTTTCAAGACATCAGCACACAAGTATTATGCATTCAAAAGAAAGTCAAAACATTCCAATTTATACAGCTATGCTGACTTCAGTTTGTTACATGTAGGGGTGCAACAGAAGACACATTTGACAAGGTGAAAATTAGAAATTGGATGTTCAGGATCTAATAGAAAAGATCAGTGAGAAGGAAAAGAAGGTAATTTTACTTTTTTATCTAACTAAACAATACATAACTGATATTCAGTAAAAAGATGTTCTCAAATAATGAAGATGATATGCAATTTAGTGTTTCATCAAAAATGAATATGATTTCTATTAAGGAGATGTAATTCCATAGAAGAACAAAGAATGATGAAGAATCTAAAATCCTCTTATGTTTTCTTCCTTAAATGCTTTATTCTACTTATTTTAGTTCTATCAGAGTAGTTAAAGAAATTGATCGTTCTTCTTCTTTGTTTATTTCAGGGTTTGAGAAATGTCTCAATTTTCTTTGCTAAACATAAAAATCTCATCTCAACTTTAGTGCAGTGTATGTCAAAATACTTCTTTTGGTATTCAGATCCAGTGTTCTTTAGCATATCGGAAATACCAATCACCTAGCACTGATTGTTATACTATATTTCATAAACACTATGTTTTAGTGAATGCAAGTTTAGGAAGATAGCATCTGTGGGCAGAGATGGTTGAACAGTTGCGGGTGACGATGGTGGTCAGAGTTCAGTGGGCCCAATGCCTTTGAAGTGAAACTACTATTTATAAATGATGGGATGGTGGTGATGGACAACAAGACTGTGATGCTGGGCTCTTGGTGCTAGGCAGGGAGTAGCTACAACACTAGTGGAGATGATGAGAAGCCAAAGAGGCAGTAATGGAGGTGTGCAAGGGGGAGGAAGTGAAGGTGAAGAGGAAGAAAGAAGAATCAGCATATAAAACTGAAGGTTTCAGATAGTAGATAACAATAACTTAGTTCTCCAAATGATTGCTTTTTCAAAAGCTACAGCAAATTTAAAGTTTTAGAAAATTTAGGATCGGTTTGTTGAAATTTTTAGAGAAGAAACAGATCATGCTAAAACTTAGAGCTTTCTAATGGAATTTGCCCATAATATAATATAACCTATTCTTAATTTGTTCTAAAGATTAATACAATTTGTCAATAAAGAATTTCATAGTCATGTTCATGATGTAAGTAAGCTGCAATTTGTTGTTTCTTAGTCAAAATCTAAAGTTTTAGCTAACTCTATGTTTAACTTTATTGTTTGTCAGTTTAGTGTTGAAAATTCTTTTATAATCTAGCTTAAACGTTTAAAAAGTTATAATTAATACAAATTTTAGAATTCATATGTATCTGTGCTAATCCTTCTATGATCTAATTTCAAATAGTTTGTTTTATATCTTGAAACAGAAATTTATATACATAATCAATTGTCCATGTCTAACTTGAATATTTTGAATCTAACACAGTTTAAAAATTTTTAAGTTATGAGCTATGTATCAAAAGTCTTGTAATTATTATTTTCAAAATATAATAATTATGAAGTTCAAAACAGTGCATGTATTATTTCACCATTTATTTACTTTTTCCTTTACACACTATGAACTCTGTGCTACATGTGTAAATGGTCCATTTGAGTACTTTACCTACATAATTTCCTCAAGGATCAAGATTCTCTCCTCGTATTGATCTCTCAGTACAATGAAACCATTAAATAATTTGGCACCCAAAAGAATAGTTAAGGCATATATTATCAGAGAGATAGCTGCTATGAGCAGTATTCAAAAGTGAAATGTGAGAGGAACAATAACCCTACTTATCCTAATCTCTATTTCACAATGGCCTTGACTTACGAGCTCTTTCTTCCCTGTGATGGAAAGAAGAGCATCTTGGAAAGTGGAAGGAAAATCCAGTTAGGAGAGCTCAAGACAATGAGCTCACAACTCCAGAACTTCCCTCTTTTTTTTTTCCTCCTCTTTCACTCTTTTCTCCTCTCCCGATTCTCTCCTCCTCTGTACTTCTCAACCCAATTGCAAGGATGAGGATCAGTTGAATCAACAGATTGGCTAACCCAAGTTGATTCAAAGTGATACCAGCTGATCCAGGGATGAAGATATAAATCTTCTATCACTTCACAATATCAGCATTGGTATGATCTTGATCTGAAGTGAGATCAAACGAGTTTGGTGCATCAATTCAACTTATAAAGATTAATTAGTACCTACAGATTCTTCAAATCCTGTGGAATTAGCTAGTACGATAAACTGGTATATTCACCTATGAAAAATTAAAATGTTATAATTGGAAGTGGAACTCCTATATCCTGTGCTTTCTTTTGAGATTCAGTTATTTATGCTCATCAATTAAAAGCTGCTTAGAGTGAAGCTCATTCAAGAGAATAAAATAACCCATAAACAAATAAAAATAAAAGAAAAAATGGACTGTGTATATTATATATGATTAATATGGTATACATATATAATTACAAGAAATAAAGAGTGAATTGTGGATTTTTTTATGATTTACACTTTCCCTTGGATGAGGGTCTATTGAAGAAGTCTTGGTGAAGATTCCAAAGTCCAATATAAGGAATAATGAGGAAGAGCGTAGAAAGGAAATGGATAGGATAATAAGAGGATCCTTAGGAACTATAATACCCAAAAGGCTCGAGCTACAAGGAACCAAGTTCGCAGCAGTCTAAAGGTGGTTACAATTATGCTCAAGATAGAACAGCTAAGATTAAGAAACCCTCCACTACTACAAAAGGTCTCATGTCAATCCTTCATATCCCCAGGGATGGAATGATCTTATCACTGACCATATGGTAGAAAAAGAAACCTGTTTAGTTGGAATTGTATAGGTGCCAGTAGGAAATCAGAGAAGGGATATCTTGTATCTCGAATTTGGCAGTGATTAAACTACAGAAAACTCAGGTTTCAATATCACAAACCAAAAGGATATTCATTCCAATTATTCAGATTTCAAAATTTTGGACTATCCTAAGACACCCGAGAATGTGGGATTTGTGTGGCATGCAAATTCTACTAAGGGTGCTCTGCTCCAGTCTTTTTTTAAAAATCATAGCCTCACTAAGGTTATTCTTTCCGTTGGAATTGTAGAAGGTCAGAATATACTCCCTCTATCCTCTAGAATAATATTGCCTCTTTGGAAGCTAAGAATGGCATCAACAATTCATCTAATGGGGAGGAAATTGGACTTAGGAGTATGTACAATCATAGCATGACTCTTTTGAAAACAATTAAACCTCAAGTGATGAATTAAAAATAAATATTGTTGGATCAATAAAGGGGACAGAAACTTGAGATTTACCACAATTTGGTCACTACAAGCCAAAAGGCATAGGAATTTTATTATAAATATTATGTGATAATTCATACAGAAACTAAAGAGATAATGAATGCCTTTACCCAATTCTACAAAAATTTGTGGTCTGAACCTATTGTCGCTCATTCTAGAAATCACTACTAACCAAATCTTAGGGGTTTCGATAATGAGGATGCTAATTCTCTAAGTAATCCTGCTATCTTCTATCTTAGTGTTGTCTTCTATCTGGGAATAAAACTCCTGTGCCAAATAGATTTACAATTGAATTCTATAAAAAAAGTACCGGAATATTATCTCTTCCTTTATAACATGCATTTAATTGTTTCTATGAGACTTCTAGGATTCCTAAGGATTGGTCTAAGACATTTATGATCTTTATTCCCATAATTAAAAATCATGTTGAGGTTAAACACTAGAGGCTTGTTTCTATATATAATGTGCATAACTATATTCTTGCAAAGGTTTTAATTGATTGGACAAGCTCACTTACACTACTTGATTTCACACAAACAATCAACCTTCACCCAGGAAGAGATAGTCATGAAAAAAATTTTATTGTCCAAAAGGTAGCCTACTCCTTATGCAATTCTAAAGGAAAATTTAACCAAGGTTCGTAATACCGTACCGTACCGGTGTTTCGATCTGGGCTCGGTACCGGTACGGTACGGTGTACCGAGACTGTAGCTATGCTACGGTGCTACAGTGCTCTGCTACAGTGCTACAGTACTCTCGGACCGGTACGTACCACCCGTACCGGGCGGTACAGTTCGGTACTGCAGACATTGAATTTAACTATGGTATGATTAAAGTTGATTTGGAAAAGGCTTGCTATCCTGACATATTATCACCAAAGTTCTCAAACTGAGGAATTTCCTAATAAATTCATTGGACAGATAACATCAACGGTAATTATTCAAACTGCTTCAAGGATTGAAGGGGAATAAAGCAGGGTGATCCGCTTTCAAATCTTAATTGCATAACCAAAGTTGTGCTAATTGGTCGATAAGTCCATTTTGTTTCAGAAACAATCCCAAATTGACATATTGTGTATGCTAACGTATCATGTCAAGCATTCATGCCACTGTAATTTTTTTTCAAAATATGCTCAAGTTTTTACAAAGTTGTGAATGTCTTACTAATCAATGTATAAGTTTGAAAAATTCTAAAATTCTTTTTCCCAAATATATTAGTAGACATTATAAATATCATATATGTTCTTGGCATGTTATTAGGGAAGATTTGTCATCTCTAGATACCTTGGAGCCATGATTGCCCTTAATTTGATGCCTTTACATACTTTAAGCAGTCATTTGGATGCCTGGATCTATCCTTCATAAGGTCGCACAAAATAATAAAATATTCTTATAGTAGAAAGACACCAATTCTCTTGGTATTCATCTATTTGCATAGGATACACTTGCATCCCAGTCCAATATATGCCTAGATGTGCATGACCTCCATTAATGTAGATATACTTTGCATGTTACTCATATATTTAACTATCTCAATCATGAAAATAGTCTTTTTTTAATTATTTTTTTATCAATTCATAATGTTTTACCTCCATTGAATATGATTCTCAAACTTGAATACGTCATCAACTCTAACTTGCAGTCATATCATTATCATAGCTTTAACATGATGCGCTTCCAACAGCACTGCAGTTCTAGTATATCTGTTAGGTTGTATCCAGAATTAAAAAGAATTATATTTAGTGAAAATTTGAACCCTCGAGGATAACTTACTGAGAACCAAAATTTGAAAGGCTTAGAAAATACTACAACAGCAAATTTGCACCTGAAGTGTGACAACCAAAAAGATGAATATAAAAAAGTTGGAGGTCTGCCTCTATGTAAATCCAATGTAAGTTTATAAGGAAAGTAACATTTCAGCTTGACATGTTCACCTTGGTTGTTTGGACTATCTGATCATCTTATGACCTAAACATGTAACTGATATGATTTCATAGTATTTTTACTCATCCTCTCCTCATAAATCCTACCTGTACCGTGCATTATGTGGCTGCATGAATAGACTCATTAAATATACCTTTCTTATCCAATGCATTAAAATTTAGTTATCTTGAGATATATCACTAGTTTGATTTTCCCAAAAACACACTTGCCTTCTGAAGAGAACTGTTTAAGATCAACTGAACTAAGACTTGTATGTACCGTACCAACCATTGCTTCTACAATTAACACATAAAATGTATGCTACTAACTAGTATAACAGTAGCGTAGAGGTCCTTTTACCCAATCGACTACCTCATTTATACTGATCTTATATCAAAATGATCAAGACGGAAGTCGTACATGCTATGTAATCTCTCTCAGAAGTTGACTACGGATGCAATAAGAGAGAAATTCACCTTTAGCAGCAGCAATGACAGATCAACATTCGATTTTTTTTTTTCTGCAATTACCATTTGCAAGAAAATAAGAATCAAGAAAACTGTGTAGAAGGCACATCTCCAAAATTTGCAACGCACAAGAATCAATCGTATTCAGCGAAAACGGGATCTCGGATGTCACCTGGGCGATGACGCCAGAGACGCCTCCGGCGAGGGCTTTCCCAAGGAGCGAACCGTCCGGCGCCGCGGCAACGCGGAGGTGCTCGTAGCTGACGATCCGTATGGGGGTGTAGAACAGGTGGCGGAGGACGGCAGGAGAGAGGCCGCTGTAGAAACCCAATACGCCGCCCTTCCTCCAGATCTCAGCTGCAACGCGGAGGGAGTTCCCACCGGCGGAGGCGAGCGGGCGGGTGCGGGACGGGGGCCGAGAGGACTCGCCGCAGAGCTGAAGCCGTGTCTTTAGGATGTCTATGGGGAAGGTCGCAGTCTCCGCCACCGCCGCCGAGAGAGAGGCCAGGCCGATCTTGGAGGCTGTTCGGAGCTCCAACGCCGCTTCTCTTCGGCCCCCGCCCATTTTTCTTGGCGAGTCGAGAAAGGCCCGGCTAGAGAAGGGGAAGGACTGAATTAAAAATTAAAAGGAAGGACTGTAATTTTATCTGACTGGATCAATTTAAGTTCTGATTGAAACGAGTAATTGATGGTTTGTGTGGTGCGACTTCTGATGAAGAGAAGATTTATGGTATAATTAATCTGAAATCAATCTTTACTAAAATATTAGCTCACTTGTAAACTCATGTATCGAGAATTTTCATACGCTGGCCGAGATATAATAGGTTTTGGAGAGGAGGGTGATATATCAATCAAGGGATTAATTACACATTATTTTTTAATTAATTATCTTTAGTATCTTAATTTTTTATATTTTTAAAAATTATTTTAAGATCCTATATTTAAAAAGTAAAACATCTAATCTCGTTGACAAAAATAAAATAAAATTAAATATTTTATTTTTATAAATAGAAAATTCTTAATTTATTTGTTTAAATATAAAAATAAAAATAAAATATTAAAAATAACTAATTACCTATAATTAACCCTATCATAAGATGGAGTGATACACCATTAAATACTAAGCTACACTTCAAACAGTAATATAGTGAGTGATATACCATCAAATCCAATAATTAAAGATTGAGGAATCAATATCTCATTTGATAAATTTTTAAATATATCAAACTAATTTAACTAAAAAACGTATAATAATGTATTCTGATTCAAGATTTAAATTTTTATTTAATAAATTTATATATAAAATATTGATTTGATGATGACAAATCATACCAATTTACCAAGATTCAAAATCTCATAATATCAGCTAAATTAGTTAATCAAAACAGGACTATTCATGTAAAAATAAATCCCATCATCACCCGGTGGAAAAAAATAAAATCTACTATTTGCATAATGATAAGACCAAGTTAAAAGGAAAAACAAGATGACAATGGTTAACCAAGAGTGATACTGGCAAGTCATCTATCTATGGAACATCTTAAATGTTTGTAGCTCTTGGCAGTGGAAATCGGATGGCTTAATAAACAAATCATATCAGTATGTTTTTAAGAAGAAATAATGTACAACTAAATTGATAATTTTTAATTTTGATTAAAAATATTTTATAAAATTATATTTGATGATATCATAATTTATATTTTAAAATTATACTTGATGATTTTTATGATTCATGATTTATTCATCTTTGTCGGAATGAAAATTACTTTTTTTGATTTTAAACAAGATGGATAGTTTTTATATAAAAAACTTGAACATATTTATATGAAATCAATCACATAAAATGAAACATATAAAAAATATATATTATCATTAAAATTAAAATGATAAATCAAATCTCTTGTTTAAAAAAACGTTATGTATAACCAACCAACAAGCTCGACCAAAAACAGGCTTTTTACGATAATTATCACATGATGGGAAATGTCAGTGATGAGAATGAGAAGAGATAAAGCTCACTGACAAAAGAGCATGCAAGAATAAAAGATCACTGTGAGAAGCGCAAAACAAGATAGACGAGAAGCTAATTCTACAATATTATTTTGATTCTACAGCAAATGATGAAATACCCTGGTATATACACAACTGCTCTACAAGCTAAAATACAAGATATTCTGGTTGTCGAGGCCTCCCTTTACCATGGACCTGTTTGTGTCCTCCTCAAGCACTTCTTCTTTGGTCCATGCTGCTGATTGATCATCTGCAAGACCTGTTAGAACCAAATTTAACCTACTTTGAAGAAGGTGGAACTATGTCGTCATAGTAAATTCAAACTAGGATAAAAAGATAAGAACTTGCAACAGTAGCAACAAATGGCTTCTTTCTAGCTGATCTTACCAAGTCACTGATACATATCGAATTGTTAGTTATTATCGTATCATAGAATGTATGCGATAATACCATTTTGTCACACTACAGAAGGGATTATTTTTGGTTGATGATACTCTATTATTTAATGTGTCACCTAATTAACTTATACCCTGGTGAACTTGAAGTGAGTTAGGCGGAGGCAGGGTTTGGAACAATTGCTTGGAGCAGCAAATTAAATATATTACATGTTACAAATCTCATGAGCAGCATAGAAGATTCTCCTTAAGAACGCATCCTTTTGACCATAGTTCTTAGTATTAACCGATCGATTGATTTCTTGACCTTATAGCCACAAATTGATTGAAAGTAACTAAGGTTGATCAAACTTAATTGAAATTTGCCGATTTTACTCAATTCTACTTCATTCAATGGCCTTGAAGAAAAAAAATATAATAAAGTAGGAGAACGAAAAATAGAAGAGGGGGAAGAAAGGCAGAACTACAATTATGACTCTGAAATAGAGATGATACTAAGGACTACAATTTCGAGTACCAACCATGACTGGTGTATTAGACACATGGTACACTGGAACATACTATGGCACTGGTGAAATCAGGAAAGCAATTTCTACAATATGAATCACAAAAAAGGAAAAATTCTAAAAAATACTTACAAAATAGGAATATTTTTACAAGAAAATTAACAAAATAGAAAGTATTCTAAATCAATCAACAATCTTAAATATTAATGAAATTTCCTTCTACTATAATATCTTCAATCAATCTTTGAAATCTTCGATCAAGCTCAAAACTTCCTTTTTTTATTTAGAATCTTCAATCAAGCTAGTTGTCTCCTATATTTTGCCTGGATTTCTTTTTTCTTTTCCTTGAACAAACATATAAACTAATATTAGTAGTAGATGTTTCATATGACAACTTATGAAACAAAGGTGTATCAGGACACCACATCACTTGCAAGAGACATCCTAAACTAATCAAATTTATTTGAAAAAAATAAATCAAAACGACTGCACATCATTAAAAATGTAGACATCAGGTGTATCAGGACACAATGAAAATGACAAAATCAAAATTAGTTGTTATTGGTGGCATTAAATAATAAATATGAAACAAAGAAGAGAGGGTAGAAGAGGAGACAACAAAAAATGAGATTCGATTAGAGCAACTAGAAAGGAAAAAAGAGAGGACACCTCTAATTGAAACTAAAGAGCGGCATAAGCTGGCTCAAGAAATGGCTAAATCAAGGCAATCAACCAAAAGGTGTGCAGATCCATGCTGGACTAATATGGAATAAACCAGACAATCAAAATTTTGTTCCCTAGCTTCAAAGCCCCTAGCACATTGACTAATTTAGGTTTAAGAGTTACAAAAATTCCAAAGATAACAAAATAAACAATTTATCTATGCACACTTTTAGAGTCTCTGAAGCCACATGCAGCAGAGAAGGATCAAGGTATTTTATGGGTGGTTGTCATTCCATCAACTAATTCATGTATGGGTTATTTCTTCCCATGAAATTATCTTATTGTTTGAGATTCATTTTACTTCAATGTTTTCCTCAACATGCTAAACATCTTTATTTAAAATCAGAAAATAAAAATAAGTCACTGCAGTGAAGAGAAAAGCATATCTAGAAAAGATGATTGTTAATATGGTGACTATGCTGAGTTGCTTGAGTTGCACAAAGGCAATTAGCTTGACTTGGAAACGTTTATCCTTAAGTCTAGCAACAAATTTTCATCAGTAAAATAATAAATAAAAGTACATGATGACTGACGGAAAAGAAAAATATACATCATAGCTAGAAACTACCAGCAGTAGAGTCAATCATTATGCATTCAGTAGGAAAAGAATATCATGAAATTCTATACCAACAGCAGACATGATTATATATATGGTGGGAAAATATCTAGATTAATGATCAATCTAAAGAGAAAAAGTTACCTGATTTTTCTGCATCTCCATCATTTCTGCCTACAAAAAGTTGAAGAGGCTAATCAGAGGTTCTATCTTTCTTACTTGCTCATAAAGTTGTAAACAACATAGTATGGCTCGTGAATATCAAATTTTGCATCTAAATGCAGACCCAACTAGAACAATACATGCTGTAATGTTGGAACAGGACATGCCATTGATATGGGGAAGCATAGACACACGATCTAACCTCATGGTTATCAAAGATCATGATGAACTCATCAAGGTGAAGGTACTTATTTTGGGAAATTTCTTTGCCATTTCTACTATTAAATAACAGAATTGCAATAGAGTTAATGTAATTATCCAATACTTTTTTGAATCTGGATTTTCTAAAGCACAAACATCAAATCAGGATTTACAATTAATCACAAACTACCACTCTCATTTTTATTCTGCTTTGTGACATCTCTATCTTGGATATTCGCATAGAAGCTGCATATTTAGGTCTTATGAAAATCCAAGTGCAAGGGGAACAAAGAGCAATGCTATTGGAAATTTGGAAACTGACATGAAAGTAGCGGTAACAAACAAGAAAATGGTTATTAATTTATTGTTAAAAAAGGATTCCGATGAATTACGAATAGAGAAATCTTGACATCATAAATCAGACATGTCAATACAGTTGAGAAAACCACCTGTTTCTCCTGCAATTCTTGATTTTGTTCTTTAAGTTTTGCTACCTCAGCTTCCAGCTCCATAGTATAAGCCTAGGTCAAATCAGAAATGTTAATATGCAGAACATACAGAAGTCTTGAATAAAGTTAATAGCATCTACATAATATCCATTTAAAAAAGAGAAACCAGAAAAACTCATTTTTCTCTATTTAAACAAGAAAATAACATAATAGAGAAGAAGCAAAGCCAATGTACTAGATTACAAGCATTATTGTGTCATGTGGCAAAAACTCTGCAGGCTCTATTGTTCTAATATAACCTAAGTTATGCTGACAAATTGTGACAACATAGTTGGGATTCTGGGCCAACCTTTTACTTCACTCATAATTTCATTTCCAAAGTCAAATTTTGGCACATAAAACAATCTACTTCTTAGATCTTTACATTATATACATTTTAAAAATTCATCAATTTAATCTACTGATCTCTTCCATGAAAATATATAGAAGAAATTAGAAGAAAACACAAGTCTCAATTCAGTAAATCACCAACGGTTGAAGGATTTGATACCACCTTCATGCATAACAATATTAAGCAAGACTCTTAGAAGTGAATGGGTTACGACAAAAAGAAAATATA